TTCCTGCACTCCAGCCTTCTCCTACAGAAGAACATTCTCTGAGTAGCTGTATGGGGTCAGGACAAAAGTCTGGATAGCACAGTATCTTTCCTCTGAAATTGGTCAGAAGCAGATGGTTTTCGGGAAGAGGAACAGGACATTATGTATTATATTTCTCCCAAGTACTCCTCTAGCAATCAGCATCTCAGGGCCCTGATATAGTTTCAATCTATTTTGAGATTTGTGCCGAAGTCCCACACTCTAGATTGAACTTGAACACACAGAACCTAGCTTTGGTCAGTGACTGTCGCATTAATTCCTTAATCTTGGGAACATCATTGTTCAATAACTGTTTTTATTTTAAAACCCTACAACTACCTAATCTTCTTGTGGAAAATAATAATAATAATAATAATAATAATAATAATACCAAAACCAAAATGAAAACCAGCATGTTTTTCATGTTACTAGAATGTTTGATATCTGAGGGGAAGAAGTGGTAAGTAATACTCTTGTTGAACAGAATCCAATGTGCCTTTCCCAACTGCAAGTATTATCATAAATAAAAATGTGTGATAAAAATTTTTAGTTTGTGCCACCTGTAGGCCATGAGAATGGCTGGGAAGAGAATTAAGCTTACAGGTACTGATACATACCCATCAAAAACATGGTAGCGTGTGCCAACAGTGTCTGGGCTGATACTTTTCTAATTAGAGTGCAGTCCATGAAACTGAGAAATGGTCTTGCTTCAGTTACAAATCCTAAGGGAAAGGGACAACTTGATCTCATGGAGCAGAGGGTAGAATGTCAGTGGCCCCTTGAGCAGAAACATATGTGTTGGTGGAGGAGCCGTCTTTATTGCCAGCGTTTGTACTGGTAAACACTGCTGCTTTTTTTTTTATTGGCTCGCTTTTTGACTTGGCAGCATGGCAGCAAGCTATCATGAGGTCAAAAAAAGGGCAAGTCACTGCAGGAACTGTGTCCTGATGGGTCCTCATTGGTCCATCCATCATTCTCAGACACCTGATTGAGCAAGATTAGTTTGATGCATTATGCTGTGTCACTGATTGCAAGAGTTACACCTCATCTGTTATTCTGGTGAGAGTAGAAATAGTAAGCTGTCAGTAAACTGATTCCTCGCAAGAAGCCTTGTCCAGATATGTTACCCAGCACACAACCATCTGCCATGAGTGTCAACGGCAGGCCCCACCATCAACAACCACAGGAAAAGACTTGAGGGCAGAGAGCAAACACTCACCTGTAGAGCTGCAGACTGTCTCCCGCAGTGGCTAACAGTAAGACTCTACCATGCCACTTCATGGTCACTTTGCCCTGCCATGGGAGGAATACACACCGATATCAAATGGTTACAAGAAAAGTTCCCCAGGTGTGCACATCCTAAGAGGAATTGTTAAGTTTGCTAGCCCTGACATCATGTAGGGTTCACCTCCCTTTGTCAGGATATTCAGCCTCCAGGAACCTAGCACTGCATTCATTGTACATCTCTATGGCCATAGGAAGAGGCAGAAGAGGCTGCAACTGAGAGGGTCTGTCTTGCACATGCAGAAAGATCTGCTCCCCTCCTCCAGTCGCCAGGTGTTTTCAGCTGTTCCAGAGATGCTCAGTGAGTGAATCACTAGGGACACCCAGTAAAATGTTTGTGCACTTCACTGCACTGCATCCCTGTTGGACTTGGCAAAGCTACGTGCTCTTCACCAAGAAAACATGAGGTCTTGTTGGCTCCCACCTTTTGGTGGGAATAACCTGCATGAAAGAAAAAAAAATAGCCATGGGACTTTATAAAGCTTTTCCTCCCAATAGGCTGTGCAATTTTTCGCTGGTTTTGATCCCCAAAGGGCTGGATTCATTGCATTCAAATACCATTACCTCACTTTTAAAAACAAAGAAATGATGAACAAGGAGGTGTGTGGCTGCTCAAAGCCACATGGGAAGCCCATGTGAAAACAGAGACCCAAATCCTCAGTTTGGCTCGGGATAGCACTGTAACTAATAGGTGGGCATGCCCCTCCTGTGCTTTTCTTTACCAGCTTCCAGTTATGTGCTCAATCCTGTGGCTTCTCTGTGGCCATGGAGAATTTGCAAATTTCTAATTGCACAACATCAAAAGAAAAGCTGCAAAAAGTAATAGCTGTGTGAGACTTTTTCTTGGTAATGTTCAGGAATTAAGGGGATGAAGAGAAGAGACAGAAGAAGCCGTGACAGCTCCCCAGTCTCAGACCGGACCCTCACCTCAAAGTGAAGCATGGACTCTCCTCTCTGCCCCAAACAGAACATGAGGCTGATGCTCTGTAGCAAGATAGCACTTAATTCTGAAACATCCTGATTCACTGTCTTCACTCAATATGTACCTTTCTGGGCAACAGTGAGGATGCATCATGCACACACGTGATCAAGTGAGGGCATGTATGCTTTCCAGTTCAGTCTTCCAGCTCTTGTGGTGATTTTTTGGTCTCTCTAAAAAGATAAGCAGTATAAGAATGACATTTTGCAATCAAATGTTGAATGCATTTTTTATTTAAACATTAAGATTAAATTACAAAAGCTTCTGGAACAAAGAAAAGATGCCAAGGAGGAAAGAGCTGAAAACTCAGATTGCATTTTCTCATTCATTGTGAAAGCAAAACACATTGGCAGCAGCAAGGCATTTTATAGAAAAGTTTCAGATGGACAGTACAAAGACCTTTCTGTCAATATTGTCACTGAAACACCTTGCTGTCATGAAGCACATCTTTTTTTTTCTGATCACACTTCTTAGTGTTGGCTGATTGATTTTCACTGTGGGAAACAAGTAATAATTATTTCAGAATTACTGCAATTCTTTACTGTTGATCCCTGCTAATATAACGCAATTTTCTTCTTGGGAAAATGTTGAAACACCATTTACTTTACCCTAATAAAAACCTCTACTGCTGTTGTTAAAAGTCTTATTTGCACAAGTATGTTCCTAATCTATGTTAATTTCATGCAATATATCTCTAATTTTTGGAATAAATACTGAGAATAATTTGAGAAAATTCCTTGAAATGCAAAATCCAAACAAACTTCATATTTTCTTTTAAGGGCAAAATTCCACCACCTTTATTTACACAAGTAGCATCCTGCTCCCTATGTTACTTCACTGCAAACCAGAGGCTCAAGCAGTAAAAATCAGCATAGCCTCATTAGGATTTACTGCATTGTATTAACTTCTAATGAAAATTGGGCTGAGCAGTTTTATCTGTGGAGTAATGTGCTACGTATAACCAGTAAAGGTGCTCAAACATAGCCCTACACTTAGTAATTTGGCACATTTACAACTGGCGTTACTCAGTAACCTATCAGATGACAATAGTGGAGCTCTTCTGTAAAATATAGGTTAAGCCTACATTTATATGACTGTACATCTGAAGTATAAAACCCACGATATGTAGTACACTTGAACAGTTAAAAAATATAACTTATTTTATTTGTAAACTATCAATGCAAGATACTTGGCAGCAAAGAAGCCATGTTCAATGTCTTCTGATCTTTTATAAAGATCTGTTGCTGTAAGTAATATAATCGTCTCCGAAACATCTGAGGTTACATGTAGAAACAATCAAGGCAATATTATTTGTACATATTATTAAACATGCAAAAAACTTCCTGAAGAATATTGCCCAAATGTAGAAAGTCATCTGGATCTCAAATTTTCCTTGGTAGCATCTGCTTTGTAAGTATGGCTCATACGTGGCTTTAGAGTCCTTCAGTTTATTTTGGAGAATTGGCACCTTTAATAACAGGCTCCCTATTCAAATATGTGGCCCAGTAAACTAAGTTAAAAGTTCCAAACAACACTGGAAAAATTATCCGAGACATTTTGTCAATCTTACTGATGCTATTGTAAGTCTTTTTGCTTTCAGTGGGCTTTTCTTCTGCAGACTTCACTGGAGCAGACGCAGTGTTTGAGATGACAGATGGGGCTGAGTCCTTTGGCATGTTTGGTGCAGGGGTCATCTTCCCAGTGCTGTAAGTATTAGTTGATTTATTTCCCAGCAATTCACGCTCTTTTTTCTACAGGGTAAAGAACAAAACATTAGACCACAGGAACAGAAAGTGGAAACATGTTCTCAAGATACTAACCCAAAAAATCTAAGTACTGTAATCAATCATGCTAACAAATGCCTGCCTGTTGGCTATTACAACCTTGACTCCCAAACAGCTGTTTCTGCTTTGATTTTATAGCCATTACTCAGGTTAAAATTTCCCTGATGCCAGAGAAAGTTAAGAGTGGCCAGCCGGACCCAAATCCCACCTGGCATGTGCATTAGCGCAGCTTCTTTTGTCAGGATGATGCGGTTCTGCATCTGCAGAAGTTGCTGTCCAGCAGGCAGCTGCCAGGGTGGGAACCTCACCCCCCTGGCTGCAGCAAAGAGCATGGTGAAGGGCTCATTGCCCCTGCTAGCTTGCCCTCTTCATATTGCTCCTTCGGGACGCCTGTGGGTATGAGCTCTCTCTAGGAGATCATTGGCTAAGAGTCAGTCCTATTCCAAATTTTAGTTTCAGCTCAAA